ACTTAGCACCCCATTGTATGGGTAGACTGACCCTTTAAGGGCAGGTTCACACTATTTTCGGGATCAGATTTGGAATGCAGTGCATTGCAAGGTGCCATGATTTTACCACCAACCAGAGCTGTTTTTTTCTGCTTTTTTTAAGCTTAAAATGGGCTTTCGGGCGCATTTGTATGCGTTTGCATTTGTATGCGTTTGATGCATTTCCATGCGTTCCAGACCAGCAGTATTTTTCTGGTCTGGAGCAGACTGTGCTGATGTGAACAGAGCCTAGAAATACCATAGGAATACATTGGGATCCATTTCAGGTGCGGACAAAAAAAACCCACACACACACTCTGGTCCAGAGATGGTGTGAACAAGCCGTTAGAAGATTTAATCACTGAAGCCCCCCCAAGAGATAAAAAGTCAGCAGGAGACTTGGCACTCCATTGTATGGGTAGACTGATCCTTTAAGGGCAGGTTCACACCATTTTCAGAGCCAGATTTGGAATGCAGTGCATTGCAAGTTGCCATACTTTTACCACTTTCCTGAGCTGTTTTTTTGTGTGTGCTTTTTTTAAGCTTAAAATGGCGTTCAGGTGCAACAATCTGGTGATGATCTGGATGTGGTGTGAATGGGCCCTAAGTCATGATCATTTGAAAAAAAAAAACATTTAACAAAATACACACCTTTTCTGGATAGAGCGATTCAGAATCTCTGCTCTCTCAGTTATCTAAAAAAAAAAAAAAAAAGAGAAATGGATAAATATCTTCCTGTAATATAAAACACTATAGTTTATAGAACTCATATATTTAGTACTCTTCCAAAATGTCCAAATCCATGGTCCATCTTGGTGGAGTACAATGTTTCTTGATGGAAACCCCAACAAACTAAAACAATCCCATAATTTCAAGGTAGGTCAATCGGATTTCTCTCAGCTACACAGGTTTTGATTAGTGTGGAAGATTTCTGAGAGACTAAACACAGGCAAACACAATCCCAGTTTGGAAGAAAGTGTAGGGGGCCAAAGCTTTATAAAGTCACCTTCACTGTGAGTGTACCATCTCCTTCCTCTCCATCACTGCTCACTGACTGCCTCCGATTTTCCATTTCATCTGATACCCACTGGTTCTGGTACTGTTCCTGGTGGCAAAAAGTTTATATGTATATTACAATCATTTTTTTTTGGTATAATGCTTGCAGTAATGCTCTGTGCCCTATAAATATATAGTACCATTAGGGGTTATTTACACTTACATGTGTGTGTTGCAGCACACATGGTAATGCACACGTGTAGGTGTGAGTTGGTTTTTATAGTTTCCCTTTAAAAACAATCTGAAGTGCAGCACATAGCTGTGAACCAACCACATAGAAAAAAAAATGGGTTTCTGTTTATATCGCATATTTATATAGTAAAATTAAATTATTTAACTGCAGGAAAATACATTCCCCTATATTGTTGGGGCTTTTGATAGCAATGTCTGTGCCTGTCAATGCATGACAACACACTTGGACAAAGCAATAAAAGCAGAGACGCATAGGCGTAAAGCCAGCCACAAAGTCTTTTTTTTTTAAAGTACACACTGATTTATTTTCCTATTGTGTGGCTAACACACACAATGTATGAGAAGTCAAACAGCAGAATGGTGGTAGGGGAAATTATATTATTACTGAAGAAAGAAGTTAAATTGACACCAGACATCCACACTACCTTCTCTTGCAGGTCTTCCCCACTCTCCATACTACACCCCAACAATGTCTGCACCTGTTCACGCTGCACTTACCCCTAATCTCCCTCCACAATACCATCAGCTGTATTCAGCATTCCAAGCTCTCCACCCACCTGTGCATTGCTCAACTCCTTATCATTGTTTATTTTTGTGTTCTTATGTATCTGACATTCTGCACTTCCCATTCTACACAGTGCTTTCCTATGTTGGTATGCTGTCTCTGAACACTGTGTCCACCATTTCCGTGGCTTCCATAGTGGAGATTTTGTAAATACTGTTTACCCTTTTAAAAAATCCCACCAATTGAAAGAATTGCGTCATGACTGGAGATGAGCTCTGACTCCTACAACACCCAACTGCAAGATCAGTTTGCACATTGCCCTCCCATCAATTTAGTAAATAGGCACTCTAGATGAAATAATATGTGTCCAGCTAGAGTACTTGGATGATTAGGCAGTAATGCATACCAGGTTACAATTTATCTGCAGATTTTCTGTGGTCAAATGGAAAAGGTGCAACAGATTCCTCCATCTACACTTAACTGTGTGGATGGAGTAATCTCCACCTGGGCCAATCTGTTGCACTTTTTCCATCTGACCACAGAAAATCTACAGATAAATTGTAAGGTGTATGGGCGGCTTTACATGGTCATTCACAAAAGGGTGAAGAATTTGGAGAAGGCAGGAGAAGTGACCAATCTAAAGGTGCCCATACACTGCACGATTCTCGTACGAGAATCGCGGGAAATCCCGCGATCGTAAGAGAAACGTACAGTGTATGGAAGGCGTGTGACCGTTTCTACTGTACGGTCGCACGACTTTTGTATTTCGAGCATGTTGGAAAACCATCCGAGAATCGTACAATTTTCGGCTGGTTTTTGACATGATCAAAAGATGACTGCCGAACGGGCCGGTGTGCACACTGCCCGTTCAGCATTGCAGTCATCGGAAGCCCACCCCTCAGGGGGGCGGGCTTGCGATGATCGCAAGTATGATCTGCCTGTCCAAGATGGGCAGATCGTACATTTTTTAAGTACTTTACAACCCTCGCAAGACAAAAGTCTTGCGAGGGTTGTAAAGTATATGGCCACCTTAAGACAACATAGCTGATTTGAAAATTCTCTAATTCAGCTCACTTTCCAGCCCAGCTATGTTGTCCTAGATTGTTCACGTCTCCTGTCTTCTCCAATCCCTTCACCCTTTTGTGAATAACCCTGTTAGAGTCTCTAGAACAGGAGTCTCAAACTCGATTCACTAGCCACTAGACAATTTTTTTTTCCCATGGGGGCCGCTTGCCAAATTTCATACTTCAAATTAAACTGTAACTATATTTGGTACCTGTATTAATGTCTGCGTGTGTTTATAATGTCATTATGTGTTTGTGATGGTTTCTTTGTATGCAATGTCAGTATATTTTTATGTGATGCTTTGTGCGAATTGTCAGGATTTCTGGGAGTGATGTCGGTATGTGTGTTAATGTTTCTGTGTGTGTCCTATCAGTATGCATACATGTGTGTGTGTGTGTGTGTGTGTGTTTTCCCCACAGGCTTTAATTTTAATCATAGAGGACCAAGAGATTCACACATTCATGCACACACAAGAATACCCCCCCCCCCCCAACACACACACACAACTACACACATTATATGCCAAAAATAATTGGTTAAACCCAGAATTGTTTTGTTTTTTTCATTACTTTCTCTTTATTTTGGCTTCCAAAATAGCATACAAGATAATTAGTAGACCAGTTAAAGGTTTAATTTCAGAATAACAGATTTGGTAGCTAAAATGACAGACAGTTGGGAAGTATGGTTATAGTAACACAGTTCATGAAAGACTCTTGGGCCTCATTCACACGAGAGAAGGTCGACACGTACATCTCCGCGCTGCGTGTGATTAGTACGTCGCCCCTGACCTTCTCTATGGGAGTACGCAGCCATATGCCGCCCTAAGCTCACCCCAAGTGCAGGTCCGTACAAGTGCGGGTGTCCCGGCTCGGACGCAGACAGGATCCATTCTGTCAGCGCAGGAGTGCAGACGCCCGCACGGACGTGCAGGGCGGGTGAGCGTAGGGCGGCGTATGGCCGCGTACTCCCATAGAGAAGAACAGGCTGCTGTGTACAAATCACACGCAGCACCTGTCCTTCCTGGGAGCTGCCCGATACGGCAGTGCATGCAGCACGGAGGTGTACGGGCTGGCCTTTTCTCATGTGAATGAGGGCTTAGATTTAAAAACTGACCTGATCTCTAGCAGTCACATGTATCTCTTCCTGTTCCCCTTGTTCTTCAAACTCTTCTTCAGGAACTCTTGGACTTGGTGGTCTGTTATCCTCATAATCTATTTCTCTAGAATAATAGAAAGCGCATTTTTATTAATTCTGCTTCACAGTGAAAACCCCAGTTTTTATATGCTGTCAGCTAGCTGTTGCTATGGTACCCGCTCGGTAGAATGCAGAATCGCATCAATAGTAAGAGCCAGGCTACATATCTACATAATATGCAAGCTCCATCCTAAGTGTGGCTCTGTAAATCAACATGTACAAAAATACACAAAAATGCCACATGAGCAGAATTTTTAACTTGTATGTCTTGATTGCTTTACCTTAAACACAGTCCTAAACAATATATACTGGATATATATATAGTGAGGGGAAAACAAACATCAAGAAGGCTCTACTGTGCACTTATCCTAGTATAGGTTTTAAACTGAAAGGTAACACTTGATTGGTTGCTATGGAAACAATTGAATTTCCTGTATTCCACATTTCTCATTATAGCTAATAATTGTACCTTGTTTCCCAATTGTAAGAGGTGGCTTCTCTCTCTTCTCTGCAGGCTTCCAGTTCATCATTTATCTGTTTCGGGTAAACAATGTAGATAAGAGATGAATGTACTGAAAATATATGTGATGGATTGTGTGGATAGATGTGAAAGTACCCATCTTTTGTCCATCTTTTAGGCAATGTAGCCTAACATACATGTGTCTGTTGTGATGTGTGTGTTGGCATGTGTGTTGTGTTTTTTTATGTGTGTCTAAACACTGAAGGGATTTTGTTGGGAAAGATACACAATCTCAACCTATAATATTATTTGATATTGGCTTCATAATACTACTAGAGAGAACGCATCCAAAGGCTTTGCTAGAAGCAATACCTATTATTTGTTTCTTTATTTACCAAGCATTGCACTCATTTAAACAGAGAAACACTGTGAATACAATGGCAGACATTGCGTAAAGCTAGCCACACACGTATACTGTATATTTTCTCTCATCAGCTCGCAGGCTGAACAAGAGAAAGTCACTTTATTCCTCCATCTATGCCAGACAGATGGAGGAATTCCCACTGCTGGCTAATATATCTAGACATTCACCACACCCACAGCTGTCTGAATACTCGAACAGTGGCTACATCCAGGGACGTCCCTATCATGAGGAAGTCTGCGGCGGTCAGCTCAGAGGGCATCTCATTAGCGGGGTGACCACAGTGTCCAGGGCTGCTAAGTGCTCTAAGCAGCCTATGACACTCTGTCTGCCCAGATTCCTGCCCAGCTCACAGACAGAGCCAGATTTCCATGTAGACATGGATGAAAATGTGTTTAGCCTGAGCCGGTGCCCTTACCTGTCGGCTTTCATATATGCAGAGAAGGACCCCAGCGTCACGTAAGACTGCCCTAAACGCATGTCTGCATCAGACAGGCATTTTACAGGTCACCCTTAGACCCCGTTCACATGTAGCGACATACCTTTGCAGCGGCCGGGATAGCGCGACTTTCGGGGCGACGATCCAGCGACGGTAGTGCGACCTTCTCCGTCAGGCTCCATATAAAAAAAGCAAAATCGCGCAAAATCCGCCGAAAAAAGGGTCCGGTAGAAGCGACTTGCGACCGCGACATGGAGTTAAGACAGCTCCATTGAATAGCATTGGCGGCGACTTCTCGTGATATCGCGTGGCAAAAATGCGCGATATCGCGCCGGAAATCGCGCGATACGTCGCTACATGAGAACGGGGCCTTATGCAGCGTCGGGGTGCTTCCCCGGCGTTTGCGGAATGGGGTGGTTGCTGTAGGCGACGCTAGCCTTGGAGCAGGTGGGTACATTTTGTGCAGAATGCATCCTCCTTGCTATTGCCGGTGCTGTATCTGGACACATCACCGGGAATTAGGCAGAGTAGGTACCTGCACGGCGCCCCTCAGATGTCATCGGTTGCCAGGGAGCTGAGCGGGATGCTCTGGCTGGCATCCCGGTAACCAGTGATGTCAGTGAGCTAAGCAGGACCGGACAGAGAACTGCTGACATGCACGACTCTATGTCCGGTAACCAAAGCTGCCCGGCCCACCGCATCCAACGCCGCCCCACAGAAACCCCTTCCAAAAGTTCAGCAGCAACCTCCCAGCCCCCCCTTCTCTACGGCCTCAGGGAAGGGACAACCCTGATTGCATCTGATTGGATGTAGTCACTGAACTTAAAAATAGCCAGCTCTCTATGTCCCCGCCGGCCGGAGATCCTCTCTTCAGGATGGAGAGTGGGGAGCAGGGCAGAGAACGTCCGTTGTCCGCCCTGTTCGGTGTAAACAGCCTTCCCCTCTCAACTGTCACAGGAGTTCCAGCACAGTGCTGTGCTAGAACTCCTGTATTGGAGGTGACAGGGTCAGAGCTTGTTAGCTCCTGCATAATAGCAATAAAGTTTAGTGAAAAAAATAAAATTGAAATTAAAATTGATAAAACATTATAAAATAAATAAAACATAAGAAAAAAAAGGGTAAAAATAATAACTCAAATAAAAAATAAAAAGGTGATAAAAAGTAAAAAAAAAAATAAGATAAAAAAATGATTAAAAAAATAATAAAAAAATAAAAGATAATAAGATAAGTAAAAATGTAAACAAGTAAAAAAAAAAAAAGTGATACAAAAGAAAAAAAATTACCGGTAAAACTAACCCTGGCGCCCCCAGGTTAGTTGGCAGAGAAGGGGGCGCATAGAGGAAACTGGCCTTGAGGCAGCAGAGAGAGTAAATCCAGCCCTTTGTATGAACACGTAGGAAAGCAACATTTCGGGACCGTGCATGGACCCTTTTTTTTACATGCCTGAGGAAGGGTCCCAGCAGGATCCCAAAATGGATAATGTCTAATCTATTTATTTCTGACCACCCTTAGAAGTCTATGGCCAGCCGTAGTTACAGCACCAGGCTTTACAAACCACCTGAGAGTTGTTTTACATTGTTCCTTTACCTCTACTTCTTCATTGCGGGTTGTCCCTTCATCTTCTTCCTCCACCTGTGCTACTGTGTTGTATGTATGGAACTCCTCCGTGGCTCTAGTCTGCTCTGTCTGTTCCTCGTCTGTAAATCTGGGCTCTTCTGTCTCCTCTGCGGCCTGCGCAGCTCCTTTCAGCTTCCTCTGCACCAGTTTCTGAGACCAGTCACTAAATCCTTCATCCTCCTCCGTCTCCCAAGGACCAGCTGGCTTCAGCTCCACACTGCAAATCACAGAACACAAAGATGACTACATAGAAAACTATTCACTTGTCTCACATCTGCACTTCAAGGAACGACCATCTGCACAAAAACAGAAAAGTCTCTTTTTTCCATTGTATGTGTGTATGTATGTATGTATGTATGTAGAGTATGCAAAACATGGAACATGTAAAGACTGAGTTGCTTCATCTGTCTGGGCCTTGCTTTACAACTCAGCATTTCTTTGATTTGGCCATGTATGTGTACACCCCTAATGCCAGGAGACATTAGAAACATATTTGGTGACCACAGGCATATCCTGTACAAATTGGTTACCACGAGGCTGGGCTCTTTTACTGCATTTGCTGAAAACCTAATAACACGTTAAGAGGATGGGGAGGTTTTCTGTGTGACCATACAAGGTATATCCTATGATCAAGTCTAATGGTGGCCATAGACCAGGCACCTCCAGCCCTCCGGCTGTGCTTTAACTACAAATCTCAACATGCCTCTGTCTCTGGGAATCATGCCTGCAACTGTCAGTCTTGCAATGCCTCATGGGACTTGAAACATTAACAGACCAAAAGGGAACAAATTAGAAAAGTTCACTGAGAGTCGGGGAGGAGCACTGCAGCAGGGATCCCAAACTGAAAAAGGCAATTTCAGGGAGGTGCCCTCCTCATTTCAGGGAGGGGGGGAGCACCCCCATAACATGATGGCAGATATCACGGGAAGCAATAGCTTCTTTGCTATCTGCTGGGGTTTTTTTTAGTATTCTGACAGCTGCTGCCATCAGAATAAAATAAAAAAACAGCCTAGGAATGCATAGCTAGATTGCTATTGGCTATTTCACTGTGCACTAGCCAATAGCAGACTAGCTATTGCACCCGCCCTCTGCTGCTGTAAATCACTAGAAAAGGACCTGATGGAGAACTTCAGCTCCCCCTCTGTTGATTGACAGCAGCAATGGGCGTGTGCAATAGCTAGTCTGCTATTGGCTATTGCAAAGTGAAATTGCCAATAGCAATCTAGCTATGCATTCCTATGCTGTTTTTTTTTCTCTCCCACTGGCGGCGGCCAAAATCTCAGAAAAAAACCCAACAGATCGCAGGGAAAAGTGTACTCTGCTCGATCTGCTAGATCAAGCAGAGTAAACCATTCCGGGAGAAAATGTTTCTCTCCCGGGCCGCCGGGAGCGGGTGACTCCCAGAACATCCGGGAGAGTTGGGATGTCTGCTCCAGACACCTCCAGCACTTAGGAGAACAGATGTTGGTAAAGGTTTCTAAGTTGTCCAGTTGCAAGGCTGGTGTTGTGTAGTCCTCTGATAGGTGTTAGATTATCACACAAGCTACTTGAAAACAGGGAAACAGTCATATAATGTCTAAAACCCCTGCAGTCTCCCTAATGAAAACCACATTCGCTGCTAGAATTGTATATGTTCGAGTAAAATGTTCCATCCTGCTCCTTCGATTTGTTTGCGTCACTGCAATCGGAAATGATCAGCAATTTGACCCCCAACAATGAACTTCTCTTATTTGGTCCCTTTTGGTCTGTTAAATATACAGTTTTCGTTACGTCAGTATGATAACTACAAAAAATACCTGTCGTACCAGCCAGAAATCCTGTGAGCTGATAACTGCCTGTGCTGACTGTTACCAGTTTACTAATGTTCTCTGCTGTCTCAGAGGTCTACAGAACCACTGCCCTCAATGTTATGGTACAGTAGGCTGAGCAAGCGTTCTCATCCTAGGACTGCAAGTGTGGAACTGGCAGAATCACCAAGTAAAATCAAAGTAACCCCCCCCCAAAAAAAAAACAAAAAAAAAAGCACACTTCCCTTTTGGTTTTGGGTGTTTGTCTCACATTCCACATAAAAAAAAAAGAAACCCCCCAAAAAAAAAAAAAAAAAAATAATGCAGCCACCACATCAAAGGACTGCTAAGCTCTAATATATTACATTTTGGTTTTGGGTTTGAATATGCTTTAAGGAGAGGAAAAGGAATGAGTGGATTCCCTAATAAGGATGGAATCAAAAGAAGTGGCAATTAACGATTTGTCAATATGTTTTGTAATTTATATTATTATTGATATTATTATATTAATTTGATTCAAATCATTTCCTGCTTTTAAATCACTCAATAATATATATGGCCAACTAGTTGCATTCTGCTCTATCTGGTAATGGACTAACTCAACTGTTTCACCCGCTGTGCATGTCATTATGTATACACCTATACATGCATAATGATGTCACATGCATTTCACTGGCGGTGCTCATCTTAATGATGGACTTCAGCAAAGAGAGGAGGTGATGTTCATCTGTTATGCCGCCGGCTCCCCTCCTCTCTCGTGCAGCTGTCGGGCTCTCGGTCAATGACCGAATGCTGGACTTTTCAGATGGGGTGACACTGTCAGTCATTTTGGTGTCACCCCTCTGATGGTCTTTCTGGTTGCCTGATGAAGGGACCTCATGGTTCCGAAACGTTGCATGGAAATGCTGCACCATTTAGTCAATAAATAGATTGACTGGACGTTATATTGGAGCGCGAGTGACTTTTTACTGATCTCAAGTTATCTGCAGAGGCATCTGCTGTCGCTAACGCACCCACCCTGCAAGCTGGGTCTTCTCCGGTCAGGAGTGCGATGAGTTATCTTGGATTTTTAACCCCTCTGATGGTGTCACCCGGTGCGGGCAGCACCCCCATTATGATGCCTATGGTCTAAGTGACTCTCAACTGTGCCTCATTTGTCCTTCTTTTGAACCCAAATCGCTGTGTCCCTCTTTCCTGTTCAGTTGTCCCTTTTTTTGGATCGCTGTCATTCAAGCTATTTCTTTCATTTCTTATTTTAACAAACAAATATAAAATAGTGGTAAACAATACTGGTGAGTTTAACTATCATTTACTGCAGATGAGGTCCACATAACTGGGGTCATTGAAGGTGTGTATCCTTGAGCTATATTGTGTTTCCATCTTAAAAAGTCTGTATGAGGTATGGACTTCTTTGTGGCTTCATAAGAAAAGGAAGTCTAACATGTAAAACTTCTGAAGACAACTCCTGCAAGTTCCTGGAACTACAGCTGCAGATTAAGCAATCACGCAAACAATGATGGCAAACAAGCCCTTTCCCAGCTTGACAACACATGCAGGAAGAATTCACCAAACCCGGAAGGATGATTCTGTGATCCCATTTTAACTTGATACAAATACAAACAAAAGATTAGCATTTGAAGACCACAAAAGAGTGTCGGGTTTTCAATTTGAACTCAGACATGCAAGCAGCTTTTTTTCCTGGAAATTCGGAATGCTCAGACAAGGTGACCAAACATGAACAAATCTTTTTTAAGGCTTAAGAAAAGATTGGTATCTCCAAACAATTGTTCAGTAACAAACATTTGGCCATGCGCTGTCAGATGATTGTTGCCTTACCAAGTTCTGCTTGATCACTGTATGAACGCAAATGATTGGCTCAGTTCAGTATCTATGTCTAGTCAGTAAAGAGGGTCATGAAGGCACCCCTGGTGTTTATCTCAAGGGAGACAGTTAAGCTGTCCATACACTGGTCAAATTTTGTCCGAGTCTTGCTAAAATTCGACCCTCTGTTCAAATGAAGTCAATTTTTCATTCAACTTTTGTCGAAGGAGCCGGTGCTAAAAACTTGACCAGGCACATAATTTCCTATTGTGGGCTGACAACGCATAGCATTTTTGTGGACTGATTGGTGTCATCCATGCACAGGGTCACTTGATACATTACTTAACCACTCCCACTGTCTTCATATCTGCAGGATAGCCACTTAAGCACTAAAGCTAGGCAGTGCTGACACCGCTCATTCCACAAAAATGCTGTATGTTGTCAGCCTACAATAGGAAATTAAGAGATGAGTGCATCTCTGGTAGATCAACATGTGTTTTCTATACTTGGTGTGCCTTTAAATGAATAAAACTTTGGCAAATGTGCATGTATTATAGAGATATAGTGCATATGTGTGTTTTTTTAATTTTGCTTGACAATGCTTTAAATAGGGCAAAGGTCCTGCAGTAGTGCCAAACACTTCTGGAACATGTAACAGTTTTGATCCTTTGATGCCAACCTCAAGGATAGTTTTGGGGTGCTTAACTATAGCTTCTGTTTAGTAGTAAATTATACTTGCTGGGTCATTGAAGGAATAAAACATTGGCAAATATGCATGCATTATAGGGATGTACTGCATATGTGTTTATTTTTATTTTGTCTTGACATATGCATTAAATAGGGCAAGGGTCACACAGTAGTGTTGAAAACTCCTGTATCATGTAACAGTTTTGATCCCTTGTTACCAAACTCAAGAATAGTTTTGAATTGATTAACTATATCTTCTGTTTTAATAGTAGATTATCAGAACATTTACCAACCAAAACATTTAATAACCAAAAACTAGTTATGTAACTTACTCTGGCTGCATTTAAAGGTGGCCTTGGCTTTACATTCTTTAAAGTGTGTGTCAAGCCAAAATTTTTTTCCTAGTTTTGCTGCTGTCAATCAGCAGAGGTGGACCTGAAGTTCTCAATTTTTATATTTTAAAAATATATTCTGACGGCAGCAGCTGTCAGAATACTAAAAAAATAACAGATACCAAGGGAAGCAATAGCTTCTTTGCTATCTGCCATCATTTCAGGGGTGTGCTCTCTTCCTTGTTGTTGCACCCACCCCGCAGAGTGGTGGGAGTGTGGTTGACAGAGGGCACCACCCTGAAATGACTTTTCGGGTTGGGATCCCTGCTCTACTAAAAAAAAGCATTTTTATTTCTGTATTGTTGCAGTTTGGAGAGTTCCCTTAATTTCTTGTCTAGTGAACTGTTATCAGTAGACCAGGATATGAGGAGAGACCTCACAATTGAAGCCCCCGGTAGCAACAAGAACTTGACACAGGATCTAATCCTTCCCCACTCCATCCAAAAATGCAATAAGAAATATTGGTGTTACATACTCCTTTTAAAAGGAACCTGTATTGAGAAAAATAGACAGACTTCCACTGCTGACTTACTTATTGCCTGAAAATACTAATTGCCTGAGTCACTGACCCAGAACATGCCCACAGATTCGAAAGTCAGAAGGAATGTTCTGGATCAGCAACTTAAAACTAATGAAGCCACTGGATCAGCTTGAGAGCCAGCATTTTCAGAAGGGAAGGCCAGCAATTAATTCTGTATATGGCCAGCTTTAGGAACAGGGAGTGAAGTTTATGCATGCTCTTACTGGTTATCTCTCTGTGTGCAGTTCTCGTCATCGAGGTCATCTGGAGACTGTCCTTCACCTCCCTCCTGCTGCTGTCTCTCTCTTCTACGACGTTCCCGTGCTGCTTCTTCTTCATCTTCCACACTCCACTGAGTGGTCAGCCTGCCACACACAAGAGAAGACAATAACAATAATAAGAACACTGCTTGGGCACTATATGTTCTTTTCTGGAGACCAATACTTGATAAACTCAGGGCGCCAGTGATCAGTTCTAGTCTCAAGAACCAGTTACTTTAAAGTGACACTAAAGTCAGGAGTTAAATCTTAAAAATGCATTCAAGTACCTTAACTATTAACAAAAATGTATCTTATTTGTGTATCACTCGGCTGTAGATTCACAAATCATCTCTGAATTGGTGCTGACACTGTCCTCCCTTCTGGAGCGTGGCTACTTTTGTTCCCCATGGTCCCTGTGTGTGTTGTAAAGTAGCCACCGCTCCAAGCTCACTCCTGTGATTGACTACAATCTCATGTTTAGTTTTCTAATTTGTATTGAGATTGTAGTCCATCACGGGAGCAAGATTGGAGCGGTGACTACTTTACCACAATCAGGGACCATGGGTAACAGAAGTAGCCACCCTCCAGAAGGAAGGACAGTGTCAGCACCAATTCAGAGATGATTTGTGAATCTACAGCCGAGTGATACACAAATAAGATACATTTTTGTTAATAGTTAAATCTTAAAAATGCATCCAAGTACCTTAACTCCTGTATCTTCAGCCGAGTGTATCACTCGGCTGTAGATTCACAAATCATCCAGAAGGAAGGACAGTGTCAGCATTAATTCAGAGATGATTTGAGGATCTACAGCCGAGTGATACAAACATAAGATACATTTTTGTTAATAGTTAAGGTGCTTGAATGTATTTTTAAGATTTAACCTCTGAGTTTAGTGTCACTTTAAGCCCTCATTCACACGACTAACAGACGGCCCCGAAGGACAGATGCTGCGTGTGATTTGTACGCAGCAGCTTGTTCTTCTCTATTGGAGTGCGCCGCCGTACGCTGCTGTACGCTCACACGAACTGCACGTCCGTGTGGGTGCGGGTGTCCCTGCTCGGACGCAGACAGGATCCATCCATAGGTGTCATTGATGTAAATGGGCAAATGTGCAAAAACGCAGCAAACATGCACTTTGAGTATTTCCATTGAAGTCTATGGGGGTAAGAAGCGCCTAATCTGCCAAAAAGAAGTTCATGTACTTTTTTTGCAAGCGACAGGTGTTTTGCTACAGGCGACAACATGCTCAGATGTGAACATGGCCATAGAAATGATAGGTGTGAACGGAGCCTTAACATCATTTTAATATCTGAGCATTATTTCAGAGCAAAAAGTTGAGCAGCTCTGGGAACCACAAGCCCCACCACTGCCTTTTTCTTCCCTAAACTTCCACTTTAAAAGAAATATGTCATGAGAAAAATATGGAAATCCTCATTATTGGTTCTGCCTTCTAAAAGTGCTAACTGGAAAATATTTTGACACATTTTGTTTTTACCGACAGCAAGTATGCAAACCAGATCAAAAGTAAATCAAATATGCAAAAAAGTCAATTTTCATACTTATTCTGGGCCTGTGGCTTACAGTATTGAGGCCAGAGGCCTCAGCATGACTAGGCATTTTCTGAAGATGTAAGCAATAGCAGCTTCCATGATTCTCTCATAACAGGTTTCCCTTAACAGAGAACTTTGGGGTAAGTGTTTTTCCCCATAGGTCACGGGAGGACATATACTAGCATCCTCCCGTGACAAAAAGCTCAGTATACCGCAAGCTACAGCTTGCGTTATACTAAGACCGCTGCAGCCAGGACAGATCCCGACATTACTGTCGAGATACACCCAGCTGCGTGAATGACAGTGGGCTCTGCCTATCTAGAGGCAGAGCCGGCTGTACCCGCCCCCTCCCACGTCCGTTCCTCCAGTCCAGTCCCTGCAGGGAGCCGTGAGTGACAGTCATCGCTCTCTGCAGGGAGATGATCGAGAAGTGAGCAAGCGATGGTATGTGTTCGCTCACATCCCGATCTATTGAGCCGACGTGTGACAGTTTCATTGTCACACATTGACTCGTACAATGAGGATGAGTGATTTTCTCCTTTAAATGTACTTATTTTTACCAAGAACTTTAATAACTTAAGCATTACAGTAGTATTAAAATATCAAACTTTTTTTTCAGTAATGAATCCACATCAAAAAATATACATTTCTCAGCAAAGCATTTCTTTACATTTTTACCCAAACACTTACAATCATCATGTTTTTTAACAGCTCCAACTCTCTCAGCTCAGCTTCCCTGAACTTCCTGTCCAGTACAAGATCACAGCAGCTGTCCATATACTAGCTTGGAGAAGGGAGAAAGTAGACTGTAGGTAAGAGGAGGGGAGTGGTTTGACTTGCTGTGCCTGTATGTTTGTGGAGACACACACAGCTTACTAGCACACCCGGGTGGCTCCATAGGACCCTGCCAGGAGGAGCCACCCTAAAACTGGATATCAGAGCCAGTGCTCAGGGGACCAGCAGATTCTGGAGGAAGCCACAACTTTTAAATATCAAGGAGCATCATCCAGTGTAAGTGATTTCATCAGCATTTGAAATTGCTGAAAAACCTTTTGACTGTAATATCACTTTGGGAGCCTTATGCATTGCCCTCAATACCCTATATTTTCTAACTTTTATCAGAAAATGACAACCAGAATCTGATTGGCTGTCAAAGCGTCTGGTAATTATGTTTGATAGCATATTGTAACTTACAGTTTTAGTGATTTTATATATCACACCAATGCCTGTACCAAATATTTTATATATCACACCAATGCCTGTACCATATATTTTATATATCACACCAATGCCTGTACCATATATTTTATATATCACACCAATGCCTGTTTACTGTATCAGTTACTGTGCATCAGCATTTGAGATACCAATACACATAAGCTTGATATGGTTTCATGAAGTACAGTTAGATCATCAAGTTATCTTTTTTTACAACCAACAAACACATCTGAAGGATAGTGCAAGTCAGCCACATTCTTTATAGAACAGTACCTGTGTTACCAGCTCATCTCTCCTGTACTTGGATGTCCAAGCTAACCGTTGGGTTTAAATCAGATAAAAAGATTCCAGTTGCATCAAAAGCTTTAAGCTAGCCATATTTTCGGCCTGCTGGTAGCATAAGCAGTTTGGTCCATTCTTTTCTATTGGGCTCAGTATATTTTTTAATTGTTTGTCACACCAGGGGATCGTGCGGGGCCACCCACAGCTCAATGTTTAACTGATTGCTGCCAAATCCGCCGGGATCCGAGCTGTCTATGGCCAGCTTTACAGTTTGATTTCTGCAGAAAGTAGCCACAGCCTGAGTAGAAAAGCCTGTCTACTGCCAGCATAGTGTAGAGAAGGACCCTTGCTCTCTGCATTAAAACAAAGTGACATAACCAGTCTGTACAGAATTCTGTTAGCTGCTCTACCAATTATAAGCCAGTCTTTGTGTATTAACATAGAACTGAAGCCAAAACTTTTTTTTTTTTAAACTTTTGGAGACAGTGAGGGAGGGTTAAATCCCCCTTCAGCTGTTTTTGACATCTGTGTCCCATAGTGGTGATTTCCCTTCACATCCTGTCTGATAGCCACAACATCAAGTGAGAGGATATCCCTCCAAAGAGAGGTAAATCCCTGTTGGTCAGAAAGGTCACCAGAACTAGTGTCCCCATTGGAAGAATTCCCATCTATTTATGTTCTGATGACAACCCAAAATGTGGGATTTTATTTCACTTTCATTAATAACGTCACCAGGACAAATAAAGAGGGTGACTCTCCCTAACGGGGATACAGAAACAATAAAACCGGACAGGTATTCTTATCCTTCTCCACTCTATCCAAAGCTAGTTTTGGCTTCAGTTGCACCTTAAATAACCGGGCCAATGGATCTAGCTATGTAGACTATTTATTCTCATACAGTGACGCTTCTAGAAAGCATTCAGAAGTGAGCCTCCTCCCTGCTTCTGGCCTCTTTAATACCCCCAGAGGGGTGTGTTATCGGCGAATTAAGACTGGCAGCTGAGCAGCAGTGACATTAGCTGACATGTCCCTTGCACGCCCTGTCCACTCCCAGGAATCTGTGTCTTCTGGCATTGTACACATGCGTGTTCTCACGCCTCTGCATCCTGCTGCCTTCTGACCATCACATCCAGGGGGTCGAACGATATTCCCTATAATGATACAGTGGCTATGCTGTCAGTATGCACATGTAACCGTTAGCTTCTAATAGAAACAATATGCCCTTTGAGTTTTTATGTACACTGCTCACTCCGTACCCAAAACCTGCCCACAGTCATGTTCTACTATTTACCCAACAACTTTGTAAAGCAACCAGATTAGAAGTGACTTACAGCTCAGGCACTGTGACCTTTGAGTAAAATCTTGTACTTCTCACATGCTTTCTAAGCAATTTGTAAAGTGCTGTGTCATATGTGGGTGCTATATAAATTACTGGAAATAATGAATAAACAATACATAGCATTAATTTCATAGTAATAGTAGACTGAAGGTAGAGAGAGTAGGCAGATAGTGTATCTCCTGGAGAACAAAAGATCTATCAGCCCATCCTGAAACATCCAGTACCCAACACTGTGTAACTTGGCGGACGGACTGAGGAGGGTTAGGTATAGTGAATGACTTTCTTCCATGTTCTCAGTTAGAAAAAAGAAAGATCTGCCTATTGTACAGATATTTTCCAAACAAGTTGTCTGATATCAAGCCATAATGCTGGTGGAACATATCCCTACAGGGATAGCCATGCAAGGTTCAATCTATACCACATGTGACATATCAAGTGAGAATGGGCTATTTATTACCATCTTTAGGTTGGCTACACACAGAATTTGATTAGGCAATGTCCTTTAGATGGAATCCCTGCCGGGAGCAGTCACGGCTCTCTGCAGTGAGATGATCGAGAAGTGAGCGAGCGACGGTATGTGTTTGCTTATTTCCCAGAGAGAACATGCAAACTCCATGAAGATAGTGTCCTTACCGGAATCTGAAGCGGGGGCCCCCCTGCGGTGCAGTGGTGTGAACTAAAATTATAGTACTCAGGGTAAATTGCTACAGGTA